CGGCGGGGGGCCCAGCCCAGGGTCTCTCCGCCAGGCGCTCATTGAAGGGGGCCCTCAGGCTGTCCAGGGGCCCGTGGTTCTCGCTTGTGGACTGCTCCATGCTACTGGGTTGGTCGGGGAGGTGGGTGCTGTTGAGTTCAGTCCATTGCTGGTGCTGAGGGATCCCGCACCCATTGTCCTTCCCCGAGACGACGGGCGAGTCACAGCCTTCCATGGTAAGGCCTGCGTGGAGCTTTCATTGCACCCAGTACGGATCGGACCTGAAGGGCGGAGGCAAGGGGGGAAGAGGGAGAGGGGGAAGAGAGAGAGAAAGGAAAGAGGTTAGGAGGGCCAAGGCTAAGGTCCCGCACAGAGCACTCTAACAGCTTCTGTCCACACCCACAACGGAGACCGCGGGGGCGGCAGGGACCCCAGCGCTGGCCCCATGCTGTCCGACGCGCAGAGGGCCAGTGGCCCCCGGGCATCATGGCTGGGGTCACGGCGGGGGGCGTGGCAGGGGCAGGAGCACAGGCAGGGGCATCAGGAGAATCCCTCTTAGTCTTCAGCTTGTCGGCTGCTCTACCCTGGAGACCAGTCTGGATTTCCGTTCTTTGCAAGCACATTGTTAGCACCAGGACTGAGCGCTGGCCACGGCGGAGGAGGGCCCTGCCGAGGACACAGGAGGGCGGCCCTACCACACACAGGCAGCCAGCCCCAAGCCGCCCCGGCTGTCCCAGCTGCCTGTGGGCCGGGGAGCAGGGGAGGGACAGACGAGAGGAGGGAGGTTTTGCACCCTCAGGACAGGAAAGGCCAACTGTGCAAGGACATGCTCACTGACTTGGAGGAGAAGTTGCTGCTGCTGCTTTTACTGACCAAGGTTCTAGTTTGGAAAGTTCAGAGAAAAGCTCCTGAGGTCCGGGGAGCACTGTCCCGTTTTACAAGCAGGAAAACCGAGGGCAAATCCTTAATACGTGCCCCTGCTGCCCGACACTGTGAAACAGGCGGATCCCTAGTTCCCTTCTCCGCCCCCACCCCTACAGCAGCCTTGCTTGTGACTCAGCTGGCTCCAGACGGAGAACGTGTAGGTGCGAACATGCCCGTGATGTTTCTAGGAAGAACCTCCCGGGCGCAGTGGGCCGACGCCCCCTCCGGCAGCATGGATGTCGCCCCGTCTGGAGGGAGCCCCGTCACCACTGGCTGGGTGCTGTCTGCTGTCAAGGATCTTAGCAGCAAACCGAGACGGCAGCTGGGCTCGGCCAGCCCCCGTTCCCACCTGCCTCTCCGTTATTAGTTGCTACCCGAGCAGCTGTCCTTCAGCCCTGGGGCTTTTCCGTTTCCGACTCCAAAGTGCCACTGAGCTGAATTTGCCCTCTGAGACCACACGTCCCTGGAGAGGGGGGCATCGGATCACCCGCTGCTGCTCTGCTCCTGTGGCAAGGACATCACAGAGCATTTCTTCCACCCAGTGCTGCTCCTACAGCAACTCAGAGCCCAGTCTGCAAATCCCAGGCAAGCCCCCACTCCCCCGCCGCCCGGCACCTCCTGCCTGGAGAACATTTGGCTGCTTCTCCACCCACCATCTCATTCATACCCAGCAGATGAAGGTTTTGGCTGGGTTTGGTCCCACCCCACCCCCCAAACCCTCATCTTCCCATTCTCTTTTCATTTCTTGATTCTTGACTGCACAGTGAGCCAACAGCTCCCCCTCGGGAAAAGATGGGGAAGGCAGGTTTCCCAGAAGCCTTGGGAGAAATAACTTTTTGGAAGAATGTGCCATGTTTTGTTTAAAGCACACATGCACACACACTCCCCACCTCTCCGTTCATAACCTCAAACTCCGCGATGACAAAGCTCTGTGCGCCTGAGAACAGACACATTGATTTCAAGCTAAGATAACTACACTGAACCAAACCGAACAGCAGATGGATGGGACTTCCCCGCCAGGCTTAGCTGGCACACAGGTGAGAATCCGGGTGGCTCTTCTTAAGATGCGCCTGATTGACAGCTCAGGCCAGAAAGGTTGGCAGGCCTGAAGGGGCGGGAGGGTTAACAGCCCGATTGTAAAATCGATGTCATAAATGCTTGGTAAGTTACAGGAACATGCGGGAAGGGGAGGCCACGATTGATAAAGGAGAACAGCTTTGATGCTTCACCAGGGACTTGTGTATCGACAGCAAAGCCAATCTCCTCTCCAGCCGGGGCTGGGCCAGCGAAACCTGCCAGCGTTTACCAATTAATTGGTGGGCTTTTCTTGCTGTTCTCTTCCTCCTCCTCCTCCTTCTCCTCTTCCTCCCCCCCAACTCACCCACTTAAGGGGTTGGGACTTTTGAAAACTCACCTAACTTTGTTTTCTATTTCCAAGCAAATGTCAAGAATGACACTGTGGCCACCCCTGAAAGACAGACGACCCCCTGGGTGGTGACACTGGCCCCTGGAGGGACACGTGGGAGACTACTTATGCGCAGGGACCGACAGCCCAGCCAGGCATCCACGGGAGAGAAGGATCCCACTCTGAGGTCGAAGCTGCCTGCCCCGGGCCTGCTGTCCATGCACGCCACGCCGGCCATGGCAGGCAGGACCTTCCACAGCCTCGCTGAGCAAAGTGTGGATCAGGGAGCAGCAGAATCGCCTTCACCAGGGCGCTGGGAGGAGCACACTCTCAGCCCTGCCACAGGCCAGAGTCCGCACGTTGCACATGGTCCTTGGAGGGTGCACGTCATTCAAGTCTGATTCACCCTCTGCTCCACCGGACTGCCAACTCCCCGCTCTGTCCCTGTACGGCCAGGGGGCCAGGCGGGGTCAGGCCAGGACTTCCCCACCGGTCCCTGGGAATGAGGGGACGGGGTGGACAAGAGGGGACCAGAACGCAGAGATGAAGAAACCTCTTATGCTTCCCAGTCCTTCAGCTCAAGGGCCTCGGGCTGTCCACCACTCTCCCGCCCGTCCCTCTCGCTCTGTTTATCAGCCAGTCAATAAGAAAAAGGTAGTTCTTACTTAAGGAGGCAGAAGTCAACTCGGCAGGTCGATCAGCACTCTGTCTGTAAACACGGTTTCCCGTAAAATCAATGATCTTCAGTTACAGAGGGCGGCCTGGGAACCTGGCGGGTCCCCGCGCTCACAGGCAGCCCTGCAGCAGCCTCTGCTCAGGCCCTACCCCGGCTCTGCGCCCCCTTCCTCATCCTTCACTCACCAGGGCCAGCTCACACATCACAGACCCTCAGCCCTTCCTGCAGCCTGCTTCTCTTCAGCCACCTACACCCCCAAGTTCCCCTCAAATACAGACGTGTCCTACTCATGCCCACCTAGCGTGCTCCACGTGGATGGTGTGTGTGTGGTTTTAAGAATTCAGTTACTCTTCAGGAGAGCACATCTCTCCAGCAGGGGTGCAGGGGAACGAGAGGTGTGGTCGAGGGTGCTGGACTCGCTCTGCTGAGCTAACCTGCCATTTGAGAAGTCACTCTGTAAGGAAAGCTTTGACACCTTTATCAAGGCCCCCGGACACTTGCGCCTCTTACAATTAGTTTCCTTGGAACCTACCTCTAAAGCTCCCTGCATCTTCCCAAATATCACTCTTTGTTTTGAAGACATTGTTTAAAATGTTAAAAACTCCACCATGTCACCCCAAGGCCCCCCATTAACAAAGTCATCCATCTCCCTCTTTCAACTGAGAAGATGTGGCGTGACAGTCTTATCACATTCCTTTAAGGAGGCAGGGCTGAGGCCAATGCAACAGTTACAGGGAAGCTGGGGAGGGGGGTTGAGGAAGGGGAGGGGACTCCCGCTGTTGCTCTCAGAGAATTAAACATGAACGTCGCACTGTGCAATTTTAAATTGTTAATTAGCACAGGGTTAATTAGGCGGTCCTTTCACAAGAGGTTGTTTGGCAGAAAACCAAGAAAGGAAACAAAGGGGACCAAAAGGAAAAGAAAGAAGTGAGACAGCGAGAAACTGTTGCCTCAGTGAATAACCCAGCAGCTTCGCCAGAGAGAAGGAAGCCAGTGGGCAAGGATGCCACTTCCCTGAGCTCAGCTGGAGCGGCCTCCGCTGGCTGCCTTCCTGGAGGTGACTTCGCAGGAGATACCAAAAGCCTCAAGAATGCACATGCCCTTTGACTCAGCAACTCCCCCGTTCTAGGAAACAACCCAAGATACCAGAGAGACAGATTATTCATCACAACATTCATAACATAAAAGAAATCTGGTGAAATGAGGGACTCTCTAAATTACAGTGCATAGCGCTCCATAGGATGTTATAAATACTAGAGGCCTGGTGCACAAATTCATTCACGGGTGGGGTCCCTCGGCCTGGCCAGGACTGGGGCTGATTGGGGCTGGCTGGCCGGGGGGAGGGACCGTGGGAGGTTGGATGGCTGCAGAAGGTTGGCTGTGGGAGTGCACTGACCACCAGGGGGCAGCTCCTGTATTGAGCATCTGCCCCCTGGTGGTCAGTGCTTGTCAATAGCGACCAGTCGTTTGGTTGACTGGTCATAATGGTTGCTTAGGCATATATATAATTTTTTGAAGAAGTTATTTAAGGGTGTGGGAAAATGATCACCCGGGATACTAAGTGAACAAAGCATATATAGGGCTGCATATAGAAATACATGAGATTTATATCAAAAACTAGGGGATGAGGTAATAGGCGACTTCATTTCTTCTTTATTTCCCAAAGATTTTTGAAATTAAAACCATCATAAGGGAAGCCATCCCTTCTTGAGTTAGGGATC